TGCTACTAGCAGCAAAAGAGAAAGAAAACTTAAAGAAGTCGGTGATCTTTCAGAATGAAAATGTTTTTCCATTCTGATGCTCATCAGACAAAGGCCACTCCTGACTTGAGAAAGAGATGCCCTGTTTTATGAATAGGATTGTAGCCAGGCATAAGGATGGTGGGGTAACTACCCTACCAAAATCTTACCAAAAATTATTTATCGAGACATGTTTACTGAAACTGTGAAAATGAAGTTCAGTTAGTATTTATATGCCTTGTATTAAAATAAAATTTGCCCATTCTGCCTTGCTTACTTTAGGCTCTTGGTTCAGTTCAGCCTTGATCACGATGGTTTTATTCATGAATATAATTATAGAATGGTTAGCTCATTTTAAGAATAAAACTTGCACTGATGTTCTCAAAGATTATTATTTTCATGTATTTATCTTACTATTTTGCCATAATAACAAATCCATTTTATGAAATAACTATTATTGATGGATATTTTGCATCTGTTTCAGGGGGTGGGTACATATCTTACATGTAATAGACCAAAATATATATACTAAACTGTCAAATTTTATTATTTATGACATATTTCACTTAATTTCAAACATAGAATTAAATCTTATACAAAGAGCTCTCCCCCAGTGGGACTTGAACCCAGACCCCTTCAATTATCACTCAACCGGTTAACAAACACTCAAATCGGATTAAGTATGACACATATCGCTCAAGATTGACAAAGTTTGACATTATTATGTCAAATCTGAAAGATGAATGAATGGTTCAGACATGCTGTTAAATTATACATCTCGTTGCCAAGTAGAGATGTAGCATACCCTCTGTATCCTATATCCATGTCCTGTATTATAATAAGCTTGAAATTAACCATGTACCATTATATAATGCATGTGTAAAATAAATATCCAGTAATCATAGCTCATATAGCCCTTGTGCAGTGTGTTGAGTACTTAATTGCATAATTCAAACTTTTCTCTAATTGAATTTTATACAAGTACTAATTGTATCATTAGTTCATATTGATGTGGAGAAAATTAGAAGATGATGTCATGCTATGCAATGTCACACTGAAGAATCTGGAGTTGAGCTTTTAATACATGTATGCTGATTTACGTTAATTAATTATGCATAGCGTATTGGAATAGTAGACGAAAGTATTGTATCCTGTCAGTATCAAAATTAAGTAATTACCATTTTCTTAAATTACCAATATAACTTGTACTTGATTAAAGTTTGAGATATGTTGTGAGAATTAAATCATAATATTGATTATCAACTATTTTTGCTCCCTTAGGGGATGTAAGAGGTTTATGCAAAGGGAGGTCTTGGATATGGAGTTTATCTCCTGGGAAATATGACTAATTGTCTGTACAAATTATATTTTCTTTCTTTTAGGTCATCGTTCTTTACCAATTTTTAGAGAAAACTCATTGTTACATAATTTATGCCATTGTTCATAGTGCAGTTATTATTGTATGCCATTTTCAAGGTGTTAGTAGTGTATGTTAAGGAGGCACGGGATTACTTTGCGGTATCTAAAAATGCGATGCCAGGAATGAGATGTTGCGGTGTCTAAAAATGCGATGCCAGAATGAGATGCTGAGACTACCTTGCCGTGCCTAAAGTGAGATGACACGAATGAGATGCCTAATAATAAGGTAACTAATAATGAGATGCCAGGGGGTGCCTAAAGTGAGATGCCAGAATGCGATGTCTAATAATGCTGAATAATGAGATACCAAGAATGAGATACCGTGATAAGATAGAGAATATACTCTTGATTACCGCCAGATCATCGATAAAGATATTTGACTATATTTATTGTCATCAGCTGTGTCATGCATGTCTCCGTGGCGCAATCGGTTAGCGCGTTCGGCTGTTAACCGGAAGGTTGGTGGTTCAAGCCCACCCGGGGACGTACTTTTTATATAAACCACTTATTTAGGAGATGCCAGGAGGTAATAACATTTTTACTAATGATGAGATTCTTGCTTTTGTGGTAACCAAAGTAATAACCTGAGGTTTGTGGTAGCTTCAATTTGAGATGCATAACGGTATCCTTTTTTAATTGTAGAGAGTCTTAACATTGAGATATCTCTGAGATACCTCTGTGATACCTTAAAGCAGGGATAACCCAGGGAAGCTAAAAACTGCGGCGTTATATTAAGAACTCATACAATTATTGAAATGAAACATTAAAAACTGAGTTGGTTTGAGAGACTTTTCGTGATATCTTAAAATTTAGGTACTTTCAAGATATCTTTGTATTATATCAAATACGATAAGACATTGGAAGGGTAAGTACATTATCAATCATTACATAACCATCCTTGCAAGATCTCAAGTTTTTGCTACATTGAGATGCACTGTGCATCCATGAACATTCAACTTGTGTACATGAAATATTTTGTGAAACACTTTTCTACCGACTTAAAATTAAGCTTTTGTAAACTTTAAACTTCGAGATACCTATGTGGAACTTTACTTTCGGCTGGTTGAGAAAATTCTTAACTGTAATGACATTGAGATGCTTTTGCGATGCCTAAAATATGATATCTACTAAAGGATGGTGTGCTAACATTGTCACACTTTGATAAGATATGAAGAATCCATTCATCTGTGTGATACCAACACATGCTGCATGATAAGTTCCGCTATAAAAACACGGATGATGAATGTACAATCTATTCCACCAACATGAATTGCAAACATTGTGGCAAAGTCTTCAAAACCGAAAAGCAATGCGCGTCGCATGTAAAGAGTGTACATCCTCTTAAAATGATCAGTTGCGAGGGGTGCTCAAAATCATTCAAGAGGAAAGATGAAGAGGCATATGAAGATATGCAAAGGGCTGTATCAAGTAAGTGGATTTTTTGTATTTCACTCTGTGTACTTAGAAATAATCAGTAAAACACGATGACGTATTAGTGCAGAAATATTTTTAAGAATACAGAAAAAACAAGGTGACATTTCAAGAACCGCATGAATAATCAATTCTTATATATTCAGCGTCTCGATAATTGGTAATGTTTATTGATTTTTTTTTCACTATTTTACAGGATAAATCCAGTACATCTGAATCATCTCAACCAACGCTGGATAGTTTGTTTGAAAGAATGCTATGCATGGTAAGCGATGCACAATTATTAATTATAGTTTAAAATTAATCGAAGTAGGTTTCGAAATATAATTTATGCTTAATTCTAAAATAAAGAAAGAAATGGGATATATTTTATTCTATTTAGGCATACCATCATAAAACTATGTATTGGTAATCAGGTTGGTAAAATCAAAAATTACATTAAGAATATTCTAATTTCAGATATGCGGACTCTCCTTTGAAAACCAATACAAATTGGACCTCCACATGTCTGTGGTACACACTGAAGTACGTATTCGTCGGATCATTCTTTTAATATAATTTTGATTTTATTATTGCGAAATTTAGTATTTACACATACTTTATATTAAACTGATAGAATACTACATTTTAATGTAATACTTCATTCCTCTCAATATCATCATGTACCTTTAATATATAAATATGTTGGTTCGCTCATTCTCCAACATTCGTTTATTTACCAGCCTCAACCAGAAAATGATGAGCAATCCTTAGGGTCCCAGGATTCTAGTTCCGGAAGCGAAAGCGGAGATGAGGATTCCGATCATGTATGTGGAATATGTTCATACATCCATGTAGAAAATGCGATTATCATCGTTATAATCTTAAATCTCATTTATACATTTCGGTATCTTGAAATGTAGCGCTTGTAGTAAGCTAAAAATGAAGTGCATAATCATTGGAGCATTATTTTGATACATTTTTATTTTCATTTTGTTATTTACTATTTATTCAATTCGTACTGTATATTTAACTTTTAGAATACAATACTCAACATTACTATTCATCAATTCCTTCCAACATTTTCCACCATTCTTTTTATTTACCAGCCACAATCAGAAAATGATGAGCAGTCAGATAGCACCGTGGATTCTAGTTCCGGAAGCGAAAGCGACAGTGAAACGGATGAGGATTCCGTTCATGTAAGTGGAATTTGTCATTGTACATAATCATTGAACCATTATTTTGTTTCAATTTTTTATTTTCATTGTGTTATTTACTATTTGTAGAATACAATACTCAATATTACTGTTCATCAATTCCTTCCTACCGCTGGTACTGTGGTTGCGTTCATTCTTCAATTTTCGTTTATTTACAGCCTCAGTCAAAAAATGATGAGCAGTCCCAAGGGACCGAGGATTCTAGTTCCGGAAGCGAAAGCGGAGATGAAACGGATGAGAATTCCATTCATGTATGTGAAATTTGTTCATACATCCATGTAGAAAATGTGATAATCAACGTTATAATCTTAAATCTCATTTATAAGTTTAGGTTATTTGAAATGTAGCGTGTTTGCAGCAAACCAACCCAAATACAAAAAGTGATGACTATTTGTAGTTCATAACTTAATTATTCCATTTTTAGGAAGACACATCAGCTGTCGCTACATGTACATCACCTGATTCACAAACACAGAATCCTACAGGCACAGGCGACAGTGACGCGGTTAGTTTAATGAGCTTCCAATTACATTTTCCAAGATTTGGATTTTTTTCTTAAAAGTAAAAACAAACAGTTTTTGATTTCGACTTTATCTTTTATTTTCTATACTAGTTACAGAAGCGTAAATAAATGAGCTTTTCGACTGTATATCATACTTAGATTTATGAAACAATTCAAAGTTACATGTAAACGTACATAATGAATAATCAAATACTGCACGATCACATGTTACTCTCCACTTTCATGCGATTAAATAATATAATAAAACAATTATACACCATCTGCATTCGCTCGAACAAACTATAATTGTGTGAATGATTCATTAAGTAATTTCTTTCTTAGGCCCAAGATCCGATTGCATATATATACCGAATGCTGGAGCGGCAACAGCAGCAAGTTAATGCTCTGCTGCAACAGCAGAGATGGCTGTCGACGTCCATACATTCGGTACGCGATAGCATTATACGTTGCTTTTGTTCTTGTTTTTAAAATTATTCTGTGTTTTATTAAATATATAAAATATAGAATAAAATATTGATACACGCAGTTGTATATTTGATTAACTTATCTTCATACAAGTGAAATAATCACTAGATATCATTTATTGAATATTATTTTATTTTCTCATTTAAGAATTTAAAACGCAAACGGTCGTCAAATGACTCTGCATCAGTTAACGCCGTTCCAGCAAAACGTCCAGCTCCCAACTCCACACCTCCTAGCTCTAACTGTAAAATAGTTCCTGCGGAAAAAAGGTTTCGACACCCCATGAGGAGGCAGGAACTTACGGTAATATCATGTGTTATATTTGATCAAACTGTGCAATACATATCATAAATGTCGTATATTCGTATTCTTACATTCACTTACCCAAAGCAATGATACTTAATCTGTTCGCAAGATATCACATCCATTCATAGTTTATATGATACACTGTAATGTTCTTACGCATCATATCGCATAGCAATTATATAACGTCATCTCTTCAGGCATCTCAAGCGAAAGAGGTGGAGGAGGCGATGAGGATCATAATGAATGACACCTCCAGTGTGAAGTGAGTATAAAAAAGTTTTCATGGGTTTTCACATAAAACATATTGTTTACTAAAAGCATCACATCATCGTATACAATTACCGAAACAATTGAATATATTACTAAAATATTGCTTAAAATCAAGAAAATACAAAAACACTATTCAATCAGTTGCATATAATCAACACCACTAAAGTAAATGCAATTCAGGAAGACCCGATCAATTATGGAAAAATATGAATTGTATACGTCATGTAAAGTATTTATTTATTCAATTACATGCAGCTCAATTTACAAATATTTTATTATTTACATGCAGCAGTGATACAGTAGATGCAGAACCTTTCATCCAAATTGAATCAGAGGAAATCGTTGATGACAATCAATGCGTGAGTGTTCCACATGATCAAGTTGAATCTAAACAAGTTGAATCTAAACAACCCGCAACCATACAGGTGCATTCAGATAACCCTCCATCGAACAACCATAGAAAAAGTGGTAATTATCATCAAATCCTCTAATATATAAAGAGAGGGTATAGCATAGCTCAGACAATGTAAACTGTATTCAATCTCAAAATAATGCTAACGTTTCAATTTTGATTGTGAATTATTAGAAAACAAAAAGAATCACTAAGCAAAATATGCTATAAGAAGATTCAAGATCGCGAAACACCTGAATCAAAGGTAACAATGATAACTCAAATATTGCAAAAATAAAAAAAATGCTTATTAAAAGAATGATTGCATTATTGTTGTGCATGCATTAATTAAACAGCATCCGTCATATCACATTTAACTCTTTATTTTTCTAGTAAAATCATACAAATGCAGAACCTGCCGTCAAACTTTCACGAATAGGAGAGATCTCCACAGACATAGACTCAAAAACCATTTTCAGTCGGGTGGAAAGCTTCACGAGATGCCATGGGAAAGTCTGGAAGAAGCACCATGGGTCCGTGAAGATGGAACAATAGATACATCCCTCCAAGAGGAGTATGAGGATAATAGAGGACTCATACTCCAAGAAAATAGGGTATCTGACATATTTTCCGTTTACAACTTCCCAGTGTCTAGCTCATTCACTAATAATGATGTTATAAATTTTTTTGAATTTATTTTAAGTGAACAAGAACATAGTTTTAAAGTCAACATTGCTGTCTCAATGATTCTGAGACACAGGGAAACAGGCAGGTACAGATACTTTAACGCGGGGCCCAATGTGTATCAATTTGATCAACCCTTTTTAGTGCATGACAACGACAGCATAACTAATTTTAAGGAAAAAATTATGGAATTAACATTAGAATCGTTCACACAAAAACTAAAAGAAGATACTAAATGGGATGCTGTGCTTGTCACGAATATCAGTTTTGTTGTGTATGGTTTAAACTATGTTATCGGGTCTAAACCTGTTGTCCTTCCAGATCACATCAAACATAACAAATCTTTGATAAACCTCACTCGAAGACCTCATTCAAAAATATATCAAGATAATTTATGCATATTTCGCTGTATCGCATTGGCACAGGGTGTGCCATTTAAATCCCATTCAATAGCTGCGTTTGAAACAAAAGTACGTCAAAATTACGCCAAATGGAGGAATTATGTTGCTGACAACTTTCCATCAAAATTTGCCATCCCAGATTCACCAGGCGATTACAATGGTTTTAATTTAAATCATTTACCGCAACTCGAGGAATGTTTTGATACTTCAATATACATGTATGAATTTGTTAATGAATCTATGGTACGTAGTCTGTACCATTCAACTGTCGATAGATATTCGATCATTTTGCATTGTAACTTACATGAAGATCACGTAAGTTACATTAGAGATATCAGCATGTATGCGAAGCGATATAAATGCGGAACATGCAAACGCTTCTTTCCAAGACTTGATAACATGATACGACACCAGAAGGTGTGTAGTAATCAAACCAAATATATATACCCCGGTGGTTACTGGTGTTTACGTAAAAACATTTTTCAAGAATTGGAGGAAGTTGGTATCTCTGTTCCAAATGATTTAAGATTTTCACCATACTTTTCTGTATTTGATTTTGAGGCGTATCTCCGGCAGGTTGACTCCTCCTCAAATAAGGAGGAAAATAATCTAAAATGGACGCACGAACATATCCCCGTTTCTGTGAGTGTTTGCTCTTCAATTCCTGGTTTCCAAAATGCAAAATGTTTTGTGAATAGTGAAAGTACGTTTCAATTAGTACAGTCAATGGTAACCTACTTGAGAGAAATACAATCAAAATGTTACACCTTGCGCTTGAACACTTTTAGGAAATATCTCGAACAAATAGATTCACTAATCGAGAAATGGAAACCTATCAAATACGGGGACAATACTTCCGATATGGAAGGTGATGATGACGGGGAACCGTATGGATCTGCAGAGTTCAGAAAACTATTGAACAAAGAAAACGCATTTGATAAATTTTTGAAGTCATTACCAGGGAATTCATCTCGCCATGACACTTATAGTTCCTCCTCTTCTAATGAAGACACTGTCTCAACCTGTAGTTCCAAAGTCACCGAATTATCAGAGTGTGTTGTACCCGAACAATCAAACGACAATCAAATACCATTTTGCTCGAATCATAACACTGAAATTGGCAAACATCGAATGCACTCAAAACTGGTAAGATTGAAGATACGATTTCACAGTTATCTCAATACTCTACCTATCATAGGATTTAATAGTGCAAAATATGATCTTCCTCTAATAAAACAAGTTCTCCCCAAAGTATTGAATCTCGATACAAACTTACAATTCATGACAAAGAATAACAATTCGTATCGATGCATATGTACTAAAGATGACTTGAGATTTCTTGACATCACAGCCTTTCTTCCACCAGCTACCTCATACAAAAGCTTTTTGCAAGCCTTTGAGGTACCAGAGCAAAAGGGATTTTTCCCTTATGAATATTTTCAATGCCCAACTCAGTTATCCGAATCTCAACTCCCCTCAAAGGAAAAGTTTTACTCATCATTGAAAAGACTTAATACCTTAGAGGAAGATCATATTTTATGGGAAAAGGGAGGTAGAGTAGGATCGGAACCACCGACCCTAGAAGATAATTATTCTATGTTACAAGAGGTCTGGAATGGTTTTCCGGCGGGTGAAAAAAATTTTGAATCTTTTTTGATTTGGTACAATAATCTAGACGTAGAACCCTTTGTAGAGGCTGTGAACAAAATGGTTTCGCTAAATAGCGAACAAGGTATAGATATGTTATATGAATTTATATCTGTCCCTGGTATAGCAAAGAAACTATTGTTTGAAAGTGGTAGGAAAAGTGGCGCTCACTTCCCTTTATTCAACAAACAATTTGAAGATACGTACAAGTGTATAAAGAACAATATTGTGGGAGGTCCTTCCCTTGTTTTTTCGAGATATCAAAAAGCGAATGAAACCTTTCTCAGAAATGATCCAGAGAAACCTACAGGAAGGATAATAGGTCTAGACGCAAATTCCTTATATCTCTACTGTTTATCATTAGAACTTCCTTGCAATTCGTTCAATGTACGACATTCTAACAAAGATTTCATCGTTGAAAAGCAAACAATTCATGAATCCATGTTTGACTGGTTAGAATGGGAAAATTTGAGACATGGTGTACATTATTTACATCAAATGAACAATGATAAAGAAGTACAAATCGGCGTTTACCCTGTTGATGGTTTTGACGCTTCCACAAATACTGTAGCTAATTTTGATGGTTGTTGGTATCACGGTCATGACTGTGAACTAGTCAAAAGTGCAATGTCGACACCTAAAGGTAGGGCTCTTTTGATGGATCGTAAAAATAAAACAGAAGCCAGAGATGCTTTCATAAAAAGTCAGGGATACAATCTTGTTATAATGAGAGAATGTGAATTCAAACTAGCTCTAAAACAATCGAATGAACTTAGACAGGTGCCTTCCGGTAAAAAAATGAACCTCTCACAATTTCACGATTCGAGGAGATTACCTTTTCAAAAGAAATTTCCAACTAAAATCAAAAATACCGATGTCATTTTGAAATCCATTTTAGATGATACTCTATTCGGTATGGTGGAGGTTGACATTAAGGTACCCACTGACTGGCAATCTGAGTCAATGAAACAAAAGGTTGTAGCCCAAATGGGTAGCCTAGTTTCACCAGAGCAATACTTTGGCGAATTTTCACCCATATTTTGCACAAGTGAAGTACCATTTTCATGCATTGGTGACTATATGCAAGACTATATCAAACAAAATGGTTTATCGCAAAAGCCAAGAACGTTGTTGGTAGGTGGAATGTCCGCTACCAAAATACTGTTATCCACCAGTATTTTGAAGTTTTATTTGGAACATGATTTAGTAGTTACACGCATATATCAGGTCATTGAATTTGGCAAAATGGCATGCTTCAAACCATTCACGCAACATATTACCGAGGCTAGACGAAATGGCGATAAGGATAAGAAATTTGAAATGTTAGGTCTTTTGGCTAAGTTGCAAGGAAACTCTGGATACGGTACTCTTTTGACCAACCAAGAGAAATTTATGTTACATGATTTCTTTAGAGACGAATTCAAAGTCATGGCGAGTATAAATACTCCACATTTTAGAAACATGGATATTATCCACGATTCGCAAAATCTAGATGATGACCCCTTTTACGAAATCCAATCGGCCAAAAAATTTCTGAAGTTGAACCTCCCCATTTATTTAGGATATTACGTTTTGCAAAACGCGAAGCTCCATCTTTTGAAATTTTATTACGATGTTCTTTGCGAATATGTACACAGGTCAGACTTTGAAATGGTTGAGACGGATACTGACTCGATGTACTTTGCAATTAGCGGAGAATCATTGATTGATGTAATCAAACCTGAAAAATTACAAGATTACACAGATATGCTGGAAAACCAATGCAATGATACATATGTACCTACCTGGTTCCCTCGGACATGTTGTTCTATTCATAAAAAACAAGACAAAAGGGAAATTGGGTGCTTTAAAGAAGAATACTCTGGGGTAGAATCTGTAAGCCTCTGTAGTAAAACATACATCATTTCTGACCCAGAAAATCTGAGAGAACCTTTTAAAGTCTCCACCAAAGGGTTAAATAAATCACAGCTTACCCATCCCTTACAAAGCTTTAGAGATGCATTGACAAATAAACAAAGTGAATTGACAACTAATGTAGGCATCCGTGTAAAGGATAATGCTGTGTTCACATACAGCCTGGGTAGAAAGGGCTTTACATATCTTTACTGTAAACGGAAAGTATTGTCAGATGGTGTATCTACTGTTCCACTGCCTTTAACTTTAACACCAGTGAAACGAAACTAATCATGATTTTTGTGTGAACATTTTATTGCCGAGTTGAATGAATGTATCATAATAACTGCGATGTCAACACATTTTAAGGGAACTATTGTAGAGAATGTATTTTCTGCGCATTTTATTAGTAGATCATTTATCCATTTATCAGCTGTTATATTATTTATTTTTATTTTATATATATACTTTTAAAAACAGCATATGTTCTTTATATTGTTTACATCATCAAGGTGTCATGTAGCAATTTGTACATACTAAAGAATATTAAAACATACGCAAACTTTAAATTGTAATATAATGAGTAAATTAAGGTTAGCAAACAGAGAGAATAGCGATGTAAAATGAGGTGATCTATGATTATTTTGAAGTTGAATACCAATAAGAGCCAGTTTATGGTTCATGGTTATGTTATGATAATATAAGAAGAATGCATTTTCTGTATATTTTTCATTTATTATCATTAATAGTCTCTTATCAATATACACATATTCGTGATATTCACAACAAGGTGATTTAGCGATTAGTTTCAGATAAGCTGACTTCTTGATGAATGATATTGTTTGTGATATAAATAAAATCAACAATTTAAACTAAGATATTTGATTGTATTTGTTTATATATTGAAAGAAAGTGAGAAACAGAAAATATATAATCTATTTTTATATTCTTTATCCTTTTACAACACCATCACCACTTAAGTACACTCCCCTTCATAAGTTTACCAACTGTCACGGATGTAATAATCTCTTGAACACTGCGATGCACTGATTTGAAAACTGTGAAGTGAAACACCTCTGTAAGTGGAACACTTTCAGAATCCCAAGACAGATTGACTTATATAAGTTGAGCACCTCACAGGTGCCAAACGTATTCCACTTAGACAGGTTTTACTGAATTTTAAATGAAACATACCGATTTTCACAATGTTCGAGTGATCAAAAACGAACCATGGGTTTCCTTCTAAGATGTCCATGTCATCCATTTAGCTGGTTTTATAGATCGTTTTGACTTATTCACAATGATATCATGTTTATCATCACGCTGATTCTTGATCTTGCTAGAATATATTTTAGAAGATAACAAAGTTTTAGGTACGTTCATATCAACTAACACTTTATAAAATTCCTTCCATCCAGCAGGTTGCTTAACCGATGAGGAAGCAGCAATATAATATAGAATATCACATATACAAGAGTTGGCAAAATGTAGTCCATCAATATTCACTTCTCCTTCACTATTCCAACTAACACGATTTGAGTCGTGTTCTGTTATGAAATTAAGTAATGAATTCATTTTGCTCTGCCATTTCGGAGAATACTGTTTTAAAAGGGTAGTAACATCAGCCATCTCTGTGGCATCCATTTGAGCTATATCATTTTTATCATTGTCAATGTTCGATTTTTTTGTGACTTGATCATCACTGGGTGTAGTGGACTGCTCCGTGTTATTTTGGATGTTAAGTAATGATGTGTCATCAATGTGTTGTAACAAATGTTGGTATTTTTCATATGGAATCAGCACTGATTTTTTCATCACTGATTTCCATGTAGATACAACTTAAGTTTTTGTTTGATACTCCTTAATATGTCAGCGACCACTTTGTGGTTTCTTACCAATGCGGCTCTCTGTTTCAGTATACCTTTTGTAGATTTTTTTTTTTTTTTTTATAAAAATATTTATTCAAAAACATAAACGCAAAATACATAAACACAAACAATACTTAAATCAATAAAACTATGCACAAACGGAAATATACATATATCATGGATTAGAATTTATACAATAGTAAAATAGGATTTTCACAGCATTATATACTCTATCAAAATTTTGATCCTTATACAATAGTAAAAGTCCAGAAAATCCATTCAATCTTAGTAAGCAGCAAAGGCATTTATAATTTTCTTAAAATCATGAGCAATATTTACTTTTCCTTGCAGTTTAAAAATGTGTTCATAAATATTTAATTTAGATGCTATTTTCGATTTAAAATTTGCTTGTTTATATTGAGTTGGATTGTCTGAGTTTTTTGTCCAAATTTCATGAATACATTTCATCAATATTGTGTAAAGCAACATTCTAAATTCTAATTTGCTGTTCATGCTTTGGTACCCCAGAAGTATATTTTTCCAAGTAATATCCACCTTTAGTGTTTCACTTAGAATATTCCATAGATTTTTAATTAACACACAATCATATAATAAATGTCTAATGTCTTGTACAACATTACACTCACTACATTCTTTTGATACATTCATATTCCACTTATTTACCAGTTTTCCGCAGGCTAAGAAATTATGTAATAGTTTAAAATTAAATTCTGATAACTTTTGGCATTCAATATCTTTTATCTTGTTTTTGTATATATTTCTAAAAGTGATTCTATCGTTCTGAATATTGAAGGATTTTGTCCAATCTGCTTCCATCTTTGGTCTAATAAATTTATCTTTCAATAGGATTTTATAAAAGAACTTTGAACTTAATTTCTCAAGGTTTTCATATTTGTCATTTCTAAATAGGAAAGAGTTTGAATGCCTTTTGTTAGCATATTTCATACTTTGTTTACTCTCATATTTTATATTGTGCAAAACAAGTCTAATTCTTAAAAATTCAGTCATCCAATTTTGCTTATTCTTTAATCTTAACAAAACAGTTTTCTCATCAATGAGATTATTTCTCTCGTCAAAAAAGTCCTTGACATAAATAAAACCTGCATTTATCCAATTTTTCATGTACAAAGTTTCTTTCCTACATAAAAACCGTTTGTTTAGCCATAAAACTTCTGTTCCAGGATGTTTATTTTTCTCTATTTCCTTACATCTATTGTATGCACAAAAGACATGTTTGTAGAACTTATAGTGATCTAAAATCTTAACATTTTCGTCAAAATTTGTTTTGTAAAAATCGTTTATTGTAAAACCAAGCTTATTTATGATAAATTCTGGAATTATTTTAACCGATGTGTTTGTTGTTTTAATACGAGGTGCCCATGCAGCTTTTAAAGCATCAATTTTACATTGAATGTCTACCAGATTAATCCCCCCATCAAGTATATTTCCAATTAAAGTATTTCGTTTTACCCAATCCTTTTTCCATAGAAAACCGAAAATAATTTTATTGATTCTTTTAACAATATCATCGGGTACATCTAGAATACTTAAATTGTATACTAATTTTGAAATTCCAAGAGTGTTAATCACATGTGCTTTGCCAAAGAGGGTCAGTTTTCTTTTTTTCCATGATTCAAAGAGTTTTTCAAAATTGTTGATCTTGTTGTCCCAGTTTTTTTCTTTGCACAAAGTTTTGTCATTTCCAATAAATATTCCCAGACATTTTACAGGTTCTACTCCAAAATGAATATTTTCATATTGATGTCCATTACCTTTTAAGTTACCTAACCATATTCCCTCCGTTTTGCCCATATTTAAATTAAGTCCAGATATTTCAGAAAAATTATTTATTTCTTTAAGTGCTTCGCGAATAGATTCTTTAGTTGACAATGTGAGGGTGGTATCATCTGCATGTTGAATTACTTTTATTTCTTTTTTGTCAATTTTAATTCCTTTAATTTTGTCATTTTTTCTCAGCTTATTTGCCATTATTTCAGTACATATTATGAAAATCAAAGCAGATGCCGGACATCCCTGCCGTATACCTTTTTTTATTTTTACTTCATTAGAAATATGCCCATTGTTTTTGATTTTAAGTTTTGGATCATTATAAAGAGCTTTTATCCATTTTGTAAAATTTTTGCCAAAGTTCAGTGTTTCTAGTACCTTGAACATGAATGCCCAATTAATACTATCAAATGCCTTTTTATAATCTAAACACAAAAGCAATGCATCTATATTTTCATAGTTAGAGTAATCAATTAGATCTAACAAAAGTCTGGCGTTATTTCCTATATATCTGCCTTTTATGTATGAGGATTGGTCTTTATGAACAAGTTTAGGTAAAACACTATGTAGTCTATTCGCCAAAGTAAAAGTCAAAATCTTATAATCGTAATTGCTTAAGCTTATTGGTCGATAATTGTCCAAAAATTCCCTATTGCCCTTTTTGAAAATAAGAGATAAAATTGAAATTTTCTGTGATTCACTTAATTCACCAAATTCAAAAACTTCATTTATCATTGCTAAATAGTTATCTTCTAAGTAATGCCAAAAGGTTTTGTAAAATTCTGGTATCAGCCCATCAGTACCAGGGCTTTTTCCATCTTTTAAATTTTGAACTACTTTCTGAAGTTCATTTTTTGAAATTTCTGCTTCAAAATAGTCTTTTTCTTTTTGATCTAAAGTGTAATCTAATTTGACCTCTTTCAAGTAATCATTTATCTTGTTTTCGTCAATCTCATCATCATTATAGAGACTACTATAGAATAATTCTGCTTGTTCTAAGATTTCTTCATCTTTATAAAATGTACCATGTTTATTAGTTATTTTTCTAATGACATTTTCAGATTGTCTTTTAGATTCTAATCCCAGAAAATATTTAGTGTTTTTTTCTCCTTGTTCAATAAATCTCGATTTTGATCTGATAAAATGCCCATATATTTCTTTTTCATATAGCATATTCAATTGTGATTCTAACTCAATTTTTGTTATTTCAGCTTTTTTACGCACTTTTTCACTTTTGCAAATTTCAATATATTCATTGATATCATCAAGTTCTTTCTGCGTTTTAATTAAAAGATTTCTTTTTTTCTTTGCTAAATTAACAGCAAAACCAACAGATATTTTCTTAATTTTAGATTTAAGGATTTCCCAAAGTACTCTTTTAGATTTAATATATGAATATTGGTTATTTACCCATGTAATACATTGTTGAATTTTCTTTTGAAAGTTCTCATCTTTTAGATGTTCCCCATTTAACTTCCAATACCCCTTCCCTCTTTTATTCATTGTTAAAACAACATCAATTAAAATAGCCTTGTGGTCCCTATCGAGCGCTTGCATTAAGTATACCTTTTTCATATCCCACATAGGATTCTTTGATACAAAAATATAGTCTATTCTGCTCATGGATCTTGTATGTTTATCAAAAAAAGTAAATCCATCTTTCTCACCTTTTAGTATTCTCCATGTATCTTTTAATTCAAAATTCGCAATAATGTTTTTCAATGCAGATTGACTTTTATCGGTATACTGCTTCACTTTGGTTTTCCTGTCTTTATCAGATATAATACAGTTAAAATCTCCAGTCAAAAACATATTATTTACATTTTTTGCATGGTCATATATCCAATCATTCAAGCCTTCAAAAAAATTATCTCTATCATTAACATTATTTGGTGCATATATATTTACAACTGTTACATCTACTCCATTGATTTTACAATTAATTAAAATCTTCCTACCTAAATTATCTGTAATAATATTATATATCTCATAATCTATAGTCTTAGAGAATAGTAAAGATACTCCTCTAGAGTGTGATGAATCTGTTAAACAATGATATCCATCGAAATCAAAATTTCTACATGTTTCATCAATTTTTGATTGTCCTTTAATTGTACAAAATGTTTCTTGTAATGCCACAATACTAGGTTTCTGATTTTTAAGCCATAAAAGTATCTTGTTACGTTTTCTCATGTCATTTAGACCTCTTACATTGAGGCTCAGTAATCGTATTTTACCATTCATTCATTAAATAAAAAACTATTAAAACAAATATGTACATGAAATAGTCAAAACATATTCAGTGACTGTGTTCATTCATTTTCTTCCACAATGTTACTATATAGTGCCTTCTTTGGTTCATTTTCAATTGTTCCTGGCGTTGATCCATCAGAACCTCTAGTTTTCCTCTTGTTCCTTGGAGTTGCCACTGAGTTGATGTGGTTAGCTACCTTATTATATCCATGTGGACTAAGGTGCACCCCTTTCACATCATTTTCTTTAAAGTCACTTTTGGATGTTTTTCCTTGGTTGCTTAGCAGCATTGCATCGTTATTTACAAACACAAGGAAATCTTCTCGTCTACACATCATATTCAACTGCTTATTCATAGTATCAATCTTTCCTTGTATCTTTTTATCATATGGGTGTACAGGGGTTATGCTGCTAATGACAATTGAAGCCTGGGGGTGTTGTAAGTGTAGTGACTTGACACAAGATTCATATTTCACAAGACATGACTCAACCCTCTCATTATCATATACCAGGTTTTTTGTTCCTGCTTGTATTATGATCTTTTCTAGGCACTGATTATCGATTTTGTCTCTTTTCATTAGAATATCTATATCTTCGATTCCAGCACCACTTTTGGTTTTCTCACTGACACCTTCTCTTTTCATTGAAGTATATATACCCTTTGCTATAGAGCAACCAGTTATTATTGTATCTATTTGTGGGCTGTCACTTGACTTAATGCTTTTATCACTCGCTTTGGTATTTTTCTGCTCATCTTCTGTCATGATTGTTTTTGAGGCATTCAAAGGTGCAGGACAGTCATTCCCTCGGTGACCTTGACCTTTGCATTTGTGACAGACTGGTTCTAAGGTGCACGTCTTGGCAAAATGCCCAGGCTGCTGACAGTTAAAACATACTGGTTTTCTACGCTTGTCACATCTATAGTCCGGATGTCCGACCTCGTTACAAATTCCACATGGTTGTCCTCTGTAGCTGAGTCGACCCATGAAACCAGCAATAGTTGGATTGTTAGGAATTGGTCTCATGATCTCAGTCACATGAATAAAACGCACTCCATCTTTTATTCGAGTCCTTTCACCACTGGTATTTTTAACATATCCATGATAGATATTTCCTGTCACCTTGGCAAATTGCGCTATATATGCATTTATCACTTCATCATTCACTTGTATAGGAATATCTCTAAGTGTTATTTTCATGTTATCATTTTCATCTTCTAAAAGTTCTACGTAAAGTCCATTTATATGTATTCCAAATTTCTTTGCTTGAGATTTTGCAGATAATAACCTAACAAAGTTTTTATTCCGTTGGAGAGTTTTCTTGGAATGAGAAGTAATTGGTAAGGTTCCGTGTAAAATATTCAATGCTAGTTCACTCAAAGCTTTAAGCTGATTGTCACTGATCGTAGAAAGAAGTGCTCGTCGTTGAGATCTTTGTGATGACTCTAGTAATATCAAAAATGAAATGTTATCCGTAACTGATTTACTCATCTCTGTGTTACTGAATTAATTTATTGTGTATATCCATGTAGCTTCATCAGGAAATATATTGGTTCTGAAAAATCAAAAGAAATCTCGAGCTTTTATATGATCTTTTATCTCTTTGTCAAAACGCTAAAGCATTTACTGTGAATATCAAAATAATCATAGCACTCTGTGTTTTATATGACTATAGTTGATAAAAACATTACGCACACGATATATCAGGGTAGGGTGATTTTACCTTAATCTCAGCTTTTCAATTGATTGAGGGTGTAAATCTATCAGAATGTAGCCATATCGTCTTGATAAGACCGCGTCTTTGTATACTTTCATAAATGATTTGCTATCACCAGCGAATAATTGTCTACTTAAACAAGCGATTTGGTCTGTGCCTCTCATATTTCTGAATAGGATTATGTATTGCGAATTTAAACTAAATTGTCTCCATACTCCTGTTCTCATAAATATATTTTGCGTGATGACGATTAAGGAAACACCTCCGTGATGACAGCCCACTGTTGCCATCTGCTCCAGGTCACGACTCGATGAGGTTTGAACTGCTAGATCATCCAAAACATACAGAATGTGATTGTCTTTGTGGCTCATCATTTCGTCCCATTTCGGCATTCCCTGGATAAACTCAATGTCAACGTCCTTAGACGATCGCTCAATATCACCGTAAATATCCTGCCATATTGCATAGCAAAATATCACCTTGCTCGGAATTGTAGGAGCATACATATTTCTTAAATTCTTCAAAATTTTCATGACGAAAAATGACTTTCCAGAGTTTGATGGACCAGCCACAATTATGGTGGAACACGATCTAAATTTATTCTCATCCATTTGGGGTTGTCTTGGAATAATAAAAGCATTGCAAAATGAACAAGTATTTATTGAAAATCTTTCAATTGTCTTTCGTTTAACCAACTATCAAATTTACTCGAGTAATTAAGCCAACGTACAAGCACTTGCTTGCGACCCTTAAATTGCCTTCTACGCAAGATCTTTTCTATTCTAAAAAGTTGATTCCTCTCAACGTTTGCAGCAAGCAGCTGCGATTCGTAAAAGGCACCTTTGATTATTTCACCATTAAGATCTGTCAGCCCATAGGTTGGTGGTTCAGTCAAGTTCACTGATTTTATTATGAATAACTCTTGACTCCAGGACATCAGGTAGCCTGGAGTATAATCAGCACTCTTATCCAATGAAATTCGCACAGTTTGATTTTCCTTGAATTTTGGTGTAAATTCAAAAGCTCGTTTCGGGAATGAGCCGTAATAGAGTTTATACCAAACTTTATCTTGATTGGATATGTTCACCTCAGAAGGAGCCATGCCGATTGATTCCATGTATGAGGAGTTGATGGACTTAACAATATCTGGAAGACTGTTTAGATACTTGAAGGTGTTGTTAGCGTACATGTAACGCACCAGTCGTTCCTTCAATCGTTTAATTCCGTTTTCCGCAATCGATGCCTTCATGTTCCCAAACGCTAAGATATGATCAATTTTTTCACGTTTCAAATAGTCCTTGACGGATTTATTTACGAATTCTCCGCCCTGAAACAGAATCATTGTCTAGGTTAGAATACTGTAGAATATTAATACAATTGCAATATGAGATGCACTGATATGTTAATTCTTTTTTCCCTCGACAACAGTGAACTATCATACCTGGTCACTTCTTATCTGTAGCGGGGTAGGCATATCCTTTTTTAACGATTCAAGTGCCTTGACAACCTCTCCACCTCTTTTCGATGTTAAGGGATGCACCCACATATATCGGGAAAGCGCGCTAACAATCACTAATAAATAGCTTATATTTGAATTATACTTTGAATATGTTTTTAAATCGGCTAAATCAACATCGTACATTTGATACATGGATGAAACTATAATTTTGCGTCGTTTCTTAATTTTCTTAGGTTTTCTAAACAATGCATAAGACTCTTGATTGTTAATCCAGCTCTTGACTTGTGCTTGAGTGATACCCAATGTCCTAACTTGTCTCCACAGACGAATTGGACTCGAAAATGAGCCTGGTGTACCTAGTGTGTAATAGGCAGATTTTAGAGCTCTTTTCATGGAATTTGATATTTCTTTTTTCTCAGTTATTCTTTTCTTTTTAATACCCTTCGTCATAGTAAGGTTGTAACTTCAATAAGTGAACAGAATAATTGTTTTATGTGTTTATATTTATTAAAATTAAAAGTTCACTTATACAATTGTTGATGGGAGGGTGAGCATAATATCATTGTACTTTACTTTTAGAAAATACTTGACAAACTCGTCATTTTCTCTAAGATTGCGCTGTGAAAATGAATTGACAATACATCTCATGCTAGTTTTCCTACATCGTTTATTTAAATAATATACACAGTGATGACCACACGTTGTGTCTAGTCCTTGAACTCTAGTGTTGTTGTATAAAAAATGCGTACTATTGTTCACAAGAATATCTTGAAATATAGAATTATAATAGTCAGGCGAATGTCCCATGGAATCATAAAACTCTGCTGGTGCGTTATCATAAAATGCAAAAGCGCACCAATGCTCTCCAACCATCGAACTATCCTGTGTGTTAACAATGAAATAGGATGGTCTTTTTGTAACTTTTGCAGGTAGCTCATCCAGTGCGTATACACCGTGAGTTTTTAAGCGCAGACAAGCGTCCGAGTTCATGATTCGCTCCAATTGATACGTATTCATTATGTAACTGTAACACCGCGAAAGCGGTCAATCTCCAGTATTCGATGGAATGTACCCAAAACAATAACGCACACCGGTTCTTGTAGGGCAGTCTCAAAGCGTCCTTCAAGTTTCAGTTGCCCTCCTTTAAGTAACGGGAACACAGTTTTATTTTCGTCTGCCGCATTCAACTGGAAACGAAATATCGAAAATCCTGATTTGAAATCATCCGCCTCGATATCAGTATTGTTGTCGTGATTTGGTAATGATGTTTCAAAGAGTCTCAAATATGCCGACAGATATTGTTCACTCTCAATTAGATCGCTGGAAAATTTTAATGTGAGTGGTTTCGAAGGTACATCTTGAGAATCCACCTGAGTTGTTAGACTGGATAGGTTGAAGTGATCCATGTACAGCGGATTTGTGTCATATGTACCAGCATAGGCGCGGGCTGATACGAAAAAAGCAGTGAGGCAAGAGGGTATACGTCCTTGAAATATGTTATCCCAAGAAAAGTTAAAGTTGCCTGTTGCTAGGCTTTTCACTTTGACTTCCACATCCTGGTAAGGATATATAGCAGGCGTTCGAAGCATCACCTCGTTGTGCGCTTTAATAACAGCGGGATTAACTTCTACCATGCAAGCCTCGAAGTAAGCATCTGTTACAATTAACCGCCATTTTTGTGGATCATCGGAAACTAAACAAAATTCACTGCTATTTGGCCATAATTTTATTTTAACTTCAACTCCATTGAGAAGCAGGCGATCCGATTGAAGAAAACTTTCATATATCGGTCCAGTTAGTTCTACTTCTCGGCTGTTCCTATAATCCATATATCGCATTAATAGTCCTGTGTTCCCTCCTGTCCAAACATTATTTGTAGCGGGAAACATGTCATCTTTTCTATAACCCTGCGCTTGCATCCATGACTTTTTATCCGCCGAAGAAAAGTTTTGTAGTACGTGCAGATAAGCTTTGTACGCAAAATCAGGCGTGGCCTCTGTAATGGATTTTTGTTGAACTTGAATGTCAATACGATTCCATAATGTTTGTAAAAGCAAGTTAATAGGACCGCATTTTTTAGGTCCCTGTATGTCAATGGGATCCCAATTCATAGTATCACCATTAGCCTGAACTATTTTTACTTTGACATGCAGGCGAGATCGTTTTAAACTCAAATAGTCCATACCATTGTTTGGTATATTAAATTCCACACAACTACCATGGGTGAGGCTCGAAGTTGGTCGATATTCCACCCATTTAAATCGAGAAATACTTGTATCAGTTAATGGGATGTTAAAAAGCATTAGTTCTGTGGATGACGATTCATCACTTCCTACCAGCTTTTCCGCCATTTCGTTTTTTCTTAGTTAATATATCGCTGACTCTGGTAGTTTTATATCTTTTCTTTAAATTGTTTGTTTTGGATTTTCTTTTTATCACAGCTTTCTTCTTTTGCGGAGCTCTTTTAATAGGTCTACGTCGTTTGCTATCAATTAATCGATTTGGTCTACCTGGAGGTTGCAGAGATCTTTTAAATGTATTCGATCTTTTCCTTCTCTTCAATTCCGCACTTGCTCTCTGCACTACAGCTTGTGATGGGCTCACTAAATTAATAGTTGACCCGCCTTCTTGGTTGTTTCTTATTGAATATCGGCTATCGTTTAATGAAATGTTCTTTTGAGATTTTTTAGAGTTCATAGGTAAACTGCGGTTCACTGATGATGCGAAAAAGTGCCCCCATTTAGTATCATCTGGTGTGTAACTAGATAGTCTCATCTTGAAGTCTATACAATATGCGCTTTTTTGAAGTGTAACACACAAAAGAACGTATCGTTGTTAAATGAAAAAGCTTCGGTACCCTTTGCTTCTTTTATACTGATAGATATGTGTTGGAATCCTGATGGTATAACGGGTGTATAAAGAACAGGGTTAAAAGATTGACAATTCCCAGTGTAGAAAATGTCATCCTGGGTAGCGTGTACTTGTCTTAACAACTGAATATTTTCACCGCCAACTATGGTACCGTAACAAAGATTGCATATCACATTCATTACGATTCTCCCGTATACTGTTGGATGTCTCAATTCCACCAATCCACACTGCCATTGTTCATCAGGATTCAATGAAATATATTCGGGTAATTTAACTGTGAACTTGGTATTATTGTTAGAAGGATATGTATCCATAGAATCAGTGCTGTTCAAGTATATATAAAATTGTGAAATCATGTTTCAACCTCAAGAGATCTAGTATTTATGAGTATTTTTTCTTAATCAAGTATATTTATGATATACCGGGAAAACAAAAACATGACAGATTTACATTTCTTCATTTATTTTGTAACTTAAATTGTACATTAAAATTTATGTTCTTTTTTGCAAATACTCAATAGCAGTATTCAGACAATTGGTAACTTCACCATCATCATCGGTCCTTTTGTGGATTATGCAGTTCAGGCATGTCTCTATCTCTTCGGTTAAATCACATTTTCTAAGCGCACACACATTCATTTCCATCCAAGATATTTGAGCATCATCGTGCAACTTTAAATGGGATTGAAGATTTTTGTAAACCTCATTGACCTCACCATCGTCTAGCATCTCCAAGGCAGTTTCGTGAGATGTAACAATCTCCAAACATCCGCCTGGTCCCATGTGCTGCATACAATAAATCAAAATCATTTTCAGGTATGCACAATTATGTGGTGTGCATCTGGATGTTTCCTGTATACAATCGCTGATTATTAAAATGATAATTGCGAATATATTAGTCTTCTTGGATTTTTTTATATGATCATTAAAATAATAAATTATGTATTTACCTGGGTTTGACTTGGGTGGTCAATTTTGCATCCTTCGCATTCCTGACTATCAATCAGTTTATTTATATTATCACAGAGTAAACGAATGAAACACTGTTTCAAAATACTTTCGTTTTTAGGCATAGATACCCACTGCTTCTGAATTTGCACGTTTGATTCATTAGATAGATTATTGTCTATCATCGCCTGCATGGCTTGTGCTCTTAGAAAATACCAGTCTCCGGATAATTGTCCATCACTCCTTGTGCATATATATCGATATCTCAATGAGAGCCTTGCTTTCTGCTTTTCCTTTATTTCATCTTCATCAAAACATAATTTTCTTTTCTGCGGTAACAAACTGTTGATCTTATAAGATAATAATTTTATTTTAGCCCAGGCATTAGCAGTAATTGTTATAGATTTTGCAGGAACCACTTCTCCATCAAGTGTAACAACTATGAAACGTAAAAACTGTTCGTCCTTCAGGGCTGATAAAGTTACTATCTTTTCGTTGCCAATAACAAATTCTTTTAAGTAGTCTTTATCGGAAAGACACTCATCTATTGCTGCGGTATTAGCTTGAAACTTACGCCATTGTGCTGGTGAGAAGTAAAATAAGGACCAGTAGTGGTCACTCTTTTCTTTACTCCACCGTTTCTCGCATAACATACCGCAGATCCCATGTTTCGTTTTTGAAACATCGAATGTTAAATGTTTCTCCAATGGGAAGCTCTCTAGTGTCTCCAACACTCCGGGTACTGCCATTTTTTCGTAACGATGAAGCTACAGTATTGTAACATTACCCTTTCCATCTTATATACAAATTGTTATTGACATATTGATAGCTCGATTATGTAATGATTGATTATGTACCATCCTTTCAAAGACTTATCATATTTGAGATAATGTAAAGAGATATCTTGAAAATACCTCGATTTTAAGTTACCACAAAACTGTCATCGCAGTTTTAAGGTTCTCTGTCTTATCACGGTATATCATTCTTGGTATCTCATTATTAGACATCACATTCTGGCATCTCACTTTAGGCACTCCCCCCCCCCCCCCTCGGCAAGGTAGTCTCAGCATCTCATTCTTGGCATCGCATTTTTAGACACCGCAACATCTCATTCCTGGCATCGCATTTTTAGATACCGCAAAGTAATCCCGTGCCTCCTTAACATACACTACTGGTGTTACCCTAGTTGTATGCCATTTTCAAGGTGTTGCTATAGTTATATGCCATTTTCAAGGTGTTGCCATAGTTGTATGCCATTTTCAAGGTGTTGCCATAGTTGTATGCCATTTTCAAGGTGTTGCCATAGTTGTATGCCATTTTCAAGGTATGACCCTAGTTGTATGCCATTTTCAAGGTGTTTTCATAGTTGTATGCCATTTTCAAGGTGTTGTCATAGTTGTATGCCATGTTCAAGGTGTTGCCATAGTTATATGCCACTTTCAAGATGTTGCCATTGTTATATGCCACTTTCAAGATGTTGCCATAGTTGTATGCCATTGTTTAATTAAGGTGTAGTCATTATTATATGATAGCACAACTGGCAAATAGAGGAATTTTACTCATATTTATCTCAAAACTATGTGGCAAATGATAATTTTAATCTCATTATGTAATTGTTCAATAACTAAATCCTGTAAATATCCTGTAAAGCAAGTACTTTATGATTATGTAGAGGTACCTATTTTATACAGAATAAAAAGAGGAAAATAAGAGGAATATGGCGAACAAGTATCTGGTTCCAGTACTTCGCTCCATTGTTTACTGAAGTCAGAAACTGAATTTTGGGGGAAATGGTGCAGATAATGCTTGAATAGATAAATGCTTTACTAGAAATTGAATTTTGGGGGAAAATGGTGCAGATAATGCTTGAACAGATAAATGCTTTACTATATGATATCTTTGTTTTGATTTTGAATGGTTATATTTATTTTATGATATGTCAAGTCATGGGCTTTCAACTAGAATTATAATTAAATTGAAAGCCCATGGTCAAGTCAAAGATTAACAATTACAATTTCACAAATTGTCTGTAAAATGAAGTAACGATAAATTAAAAATTAATAAATAGCATTATGTACATCCCATTTTAATACCTAATTTTGATTGATCAAAGAGCAGTCAATAATTCTGACTATTGACCTGGCTGATTGACATCATATTGATGAATAAGATAACATTAGGAAAATATAAATTGAAACAATGGTTGAATTTTCTGTGATTCAAAATGCAGAGACATCTTTATGTGGTTTCATTGATTAAAGCAAACTACACGAAGACAGAAAGATTACAATACAATACTGTACTTCCATTTACAGTTCTTATCACCTGTTTCATCTGTTGCTTACAGAAATATATCTTTTTCATCAAGTTATGAATAATTTATGGAAATGGAGTTTAAAAAGAGTCGGGCTAAATTAGAATGTCTTATCTGATGCCATACTCCCCTCACTTCTGACATTTGTTAGTATCATCTTTGAAGGATACAATTTGTTGGTGAAAGTGATACAGAGTTTATGGCTTATCAGACTCATTAGTGGCATACAGGAGTAAATAATTCAAGCATATCAGTTTATCAGGTTATATTATTAGTCAGTAGACCTTATATGAAGTAGAGTTGTATATTGGTTTGAGATATTAACAATATACAGACACAAAGGGCAACATTTGAAAAGGCACATTTTTACCAACATTCCCGTCAACTTCATTAATTCGGCTCCCATTTTTGGGAAGGTGTATTCTGATACTCATGACTTCTTCATTCATTCTTTTATACAGAGCTTCATCTTATGATATACACAATTGACTTAGTTTTGGGAATGGTATTTTAGACCATGTCTTGAGACATCACCCATTATGAACACACATCAAGTCATGCTATCTTTATCTAATGGTGAGTGGTATCTTTTGGGGGACCCATTCTGCCTTGCCTATGAATAGCATCAAGTCATGCAATTCTTTGTCAAAAGATGATTGGTATGGTTTGGGGGACTTGGGAGACATTGACACTCAGGGCATTTTCCAACTCAAGAAATATATATCTGATACATGTATCAACATATTTTGTCCCATGAGGTTCATTTAATTTTTTTTTCAAAAAGTATTGCACTAAACCCCTGTATTGCCCCTTTTCAATATATATGATTGGGCAATAGATGGGGGATAGCAGTGCTAGAACCACCCATGGTGCAAGACACTATAGAATGCTTCCAGATAATTTCAATATTGAAATAAAAGTTTGTATGCTTATTGCATATACATGTATTGTGATACATATTTCCAAGTAACACCTGACCAACACCTGTCTGTTTGTATATATGTAATTAATGGGATTGCACATAGTTTCACTTCTAAACATACGATAAATATTGATATAAGAACCAAATTTGGATTTGCAAGATGCTAAATAATATGATATGACTTAATTAATCTATGGATGTTTATACCGTTTCTTAGATTGCATGACTATATTTCAAAGAACACCTGTAAAATTGTTTCACCCTGGCTGATAACTAGGCCAATTTGTCAGGATATTACACACAGTTAGCATGTTGCTTATTTATCAACTGTAAATTATACATCTACATTGCATGTAAATTATGAAAACGTTTCCTTTGCAACTTACCCTTTGTTAGAGCTGGGTTCCATTTGCACTCTTTAAATTAGAGATGATTCTTTCATATAGCCTGTATCCAATCAGAAAATCATCAGACTACTTTTTGCATATACAGTGAACATTTGAACATTCTCTTAATGTGAACACTTTTTCTCGGCCCCAAATTTATTATTTCCCATTTACTTAAATATTTATAAACCTTGAAAATGTGAATACTTGCTTATCCGCACACTTTTGACTGGTCTATGAGGCGTTTGGATTATGTATTTCTTTTATTGACAAGAGTGTCAAAGCATGACACATTAGTCTATGTACAAACTAAGAAACTAATCTAACTAAAAATAACTATAAACTATGAGAATACATGGATAAAATTAACTCAAAAATAAAACTACATATAGGAGGGACTTCAACTGTCAATTGTAAGTCCTTGGTTAAAGTCTAGATGCACATGGGATTGGTAGTACAGCACTCTAATTGTTAGTTTGCACTAGAATTTTGAAGGAATGGTAAATATATTTTCCTATATGTCTTTGGATTGTGATGTTTTGTTTATTCATGATCATATTAAACTTGCCTCATTTAAAATAAAATTTTGACCAATTGTTTCTTTCATCTTCTAAATTAAGATTTCCCTTTTATCATACATGTTTTACTTTAGTTTCAATCAACTGCCTTAAATGGTCATGAAATGTGGGTTTCATGTATGTGTAGAATTGTGATAAACTTTAGTGTCACTTGCAGGAGTACAGGGTATGACAGTATGCATGTACAGTAAATTTTCAATCTTTAAATGTTTTCATTTCTTGATGTACACCCTGTATTTATGTATTTGCACACACGGCTAAACAATTAGGTAAAGAATGAGAGTACTGTATGTAGCTTTCTTATTTCTATCACTTTCTTGTTTGCAATCCATATTTAAAGTACATTTTAATGTACAGATCTTTTCTAATGTTAAATGTAGATGTACTATCAAACATGTTTGATTCCTCCATGCAATTTTCACAAATACTGAAATTTTATTATTTTCTTAAAAATCACAGATCTTCAACATGTAGTATTCACAAACGAAACCATTTTCAATGTCCAGCAAATACATGTCAGGAAATTCTCTTGTGAAACAGTATTAAACTTGGATGTAATTCAGCTGTTAATGTTGAAACAATTTTCATTATATTTAGTTCCCTCGATCAACTATTTATGTTCAATTAAATGTTCACCTGGCTTGACCTTTGTTTTAGAACTAGGCGTGTTAGCTTCTGGCAAATTATTTTTGTTACTTGATATGTGGGCAGAAAGGCCCATAAACAATACACAGGCTACACCCATAAAGAGAGTATTAATTGAATAATAGGCCTCATATATTACAATTTACCTTGAAAGCTATTGTTTTTATACGGACCTTGCAATGGGATGTCACCTATTTTATCATATAATAAGCTTGTTCGTAAGTACCATAAATATAAATAACAAGCAGATCAACTTATATAACTACTGTCCTAAATATGAAATAGAAATTGTTTAAAAAGGTTAAAGACTGGAATTCACTGATTTTTAAAATAATATCGTTAAAAAAATTTTATTGACAAGGGTGACACTATTGTTATTGACTATTCATCCCCGAAATGCTGTCACTTTGTGAAATACTTCACCTGTTCATACTGAACAAAAAACATTATTTAATCAACAATAGAATTACATAAAGTTTAATTAAAAATTGAATTTAAATTTCCTGTATAGTAGGTGATAGCAGATTTCATTATGTGTGACTCATAATTTACTGAACTTTGTGTCAGGTTGATTACATTTTTTGTCTTGTTAAATTTTGCGTCATTATTATTGCTCCATCAAGCTTTAGCTCTGTGGATGTCATAGGCCACCTTAATGTAATATTCCTGTAATTGTTAAGGTTAGAAGGAAAAAAAACATTAAAATTAGTTGTTCAAGTTCAACTCTATAGTCTTGTACTAACTTTAATTTCTAGAACACAAACTCACATTCATAGTTTCTGGGGGGGGGGCAATGATGATATGTGGAAGGGGACAAGCTATTTTACGATAGACCATAAAACATCAAAAATGAATAAATCTTGTTTTGTAATGGAAGAATATCTTCTCTCTAATTGTCCTTTTG